GCTGTCTCCCACTAGCCTGGACTTCCCTTATTTTGCTCAGAAAGACAGTGAGTTTCTGTCCCAGAAGAGGCATGGGAATTCACACCTAGACAGCCTGGCCCAGGACACTCAGCTGTTTTGATGAAAGCTAATTCTGTGGTAATTGGCCCAGTAAGTTGAGAGTCAGGTGGCTGCCAACCTGAATCAGCAGGAAATGATGTACTATTCTCCTTGCTGGGACCCAATGTAATGAATTTCTGTCCCTGCCCTAGTGATAACACAGCTTTTCAGGGCCACAGGATTCCAGTTACCCTCCACATTCAGAGGCACATCCCCCTCCCTTTTCCTCCCTCCCCACAATCCCTCTCGTTTTTTGAGATAGACTTTCATATAGCCTAGACTGGCCATGGATAACTGTGAGCCTCCCAGATCACTATACCTGATGCCTCCTGAATTTTCTTTTCAGGTGTGACTTTGCCTACAGTGACAATCCACTCTCCTTTTCTCACAACACCTAAAGAGGGCAAAAGCTGCACCAAAACTTGATCAATTCAATGAATTGGGTTTTTTTTTTTTTTAAGACACCATGTTTTTCATAAGAAAAATAATCTGTTAGAAAAAACCCACAAATTTTTATTAGCCTTTTCATGGAATAACATTGAGTAAAATGAAAAAATAGACAGACAGACAGACAAACCATGAGCTAGGCATGGTGACCACACCTTCAACCCCAGCACTCAGGAGGTAGAGAGGCGGATAGATCTCTGTATGCTTGAGGTCAGCCTGATCTACATAGTGAGTTCTAGGCTAGCCAGGGCTACTCAGTGAGACCCTATTTAAATCAATGACAAAGGTGTATGTAGCTCAGTGACTTTTGATGTATGTTAGCATGAGCTGAAGAAAGAACATGCTGAGCTGGATGAGGTAGAGCATACACACCTCTAATCCCCGTACTTGGGAGGAGGAGAAAGGTGGGTTGCCTAGGGTAGGCAACATGGCAAGATCCTGTTGGAAAAGCAAAAAGAAGAAAGACCATTCCTGGACAGTGGTGGATGTAATAACCCCAGCACTCAGGACACCGAGGCAGCAGGATCTTAAAAACAAAATGAAAACAATAAAGCAACACTTGCTAGTCAGAGCATTTTCAGAGAACATGGAGTATGTTTTGTTTTACAAGGAGAAAAAAAAGTAGAATTTCAAGAATTAGGGAACTGTTAAAGATGAGCTAATAGCTAATAATCAACCATTTGTAAGTCCTGGGGTCACGAGAAAGATGTCTGCTGTCCCACAACTGGTCATGCCATTAACCCCTGCTGACCAGTGATCTCAGATCATCTCTCATCTTATAAGATGTTTGCCAGCATCTGGACCCCACCTAGGGGCCAGCAGAAGACCTTGCTCCTGTAAAACTGCAGGTAATGGAAACAAACAGCTACTGCGGAGGGCCTGGACCTGAGGTTGGAAGCCAAGCAGGGTGGGGATCTAGCTGCTAGTCAGGAGACCTTTTAAGTCTCCTTTTCTTCCCCTGAAGGTGGAGATAACAAACTTGCCTTTTAGGCTATCTGGAGGAAAGTGGTCTTGGGGACCTGTAGGGTAGAGACTGAGGTCAGAAGGCCTGGAGCCTTCTGCCTGTGTTTGCATGGCTTGACTACAGATCTTTCAGACACAAAGTTGGAAAGTTCATTCTCTCAGTTTGGGAGGGGCTGTGTGGGCCCAGCCCTCCGGAGGAGGAGAGGGGAGGTCAGCGCTCCATCAACTTCTCTCTTGGCCTTGAGCTAGTGGTTATAAGTATAGCTCTGGAGGTTAAGGATAGAGAGAGGCACTCAGCAAGAAGTGACAGTCGTGGGGACAGTATGCTGGCCAAAGGACTTTCCTTGCGCTCGGTGCTGGTCAAAGGCTGCCAACCTTTCTTGATCCCTACCTGGCAGGGTCCAGTGCTGGCTACTAGAGGGGGAGCTAATATCTCTACAGATAGCCCTCGTCCCTTCAATGAGATTCCTTCCCCCGGAGACAATGGTTGGCTAAACCTGTACCACTTCTGGAGGGAGAATGGCACACACAGAATCCATTATCATCACATGCAGAATTTCCAGAAGTATGGCCCCATTTACAGGTAAGCCTGGCAAAAGACAGAGGCAGGTATGATGGGAGGCATAGGCTTCTCACTGTTTCTCAAAAGTTCTACTTGGGGTCTCAGACTTGTGTCTGCCTTCTTTCATTTCTTCTAGGCTAGGGGTGGTGGAAAGAGAAACATAGACCCTCCCAGTTTCTGGCCCTAAGACTCAGCTTTCTACTTTCCTTATGGGAAAGAGTGTGAGCAAACGCACCTCCAGTGCCTCCTCCTTTGCCTTCTATCCTCCTGATACCCTAAAAGACAAGTTGGCTGTCTCTGCTTTCAGGGGACAGGTAGGTTTAGATGACCTGACTACCATCTATGCTCCCCCCTTTGCTTTGGTGCCAACCTCAGCTCTTTGTGACTCTGCAGTAGCTGGTTTTCTTTCCTAAGCATCTTCTGGGAGTGATGACCTTGCAGTCCATGGCTTCTGAAAGCTCAGGGTCTGTGGCCCATCCCAGCCTAACAGTACTTGTGATCAGAAGTCTGTAGGCTACTTGTGGGCTTTTCTCTAGGAGTCACTTCCAGGTATGGGGGTTGCTGCAGCCAGGAGGGAAGTGCATTGATCTTAAACGAAGGACCTTTACAGCTTTAGAGCTGTCCCAGGCAGAGCACCTTATTTTATCAGCTGTTTTCTCAGTCATTTTCATCTGAGTGTTGTGCTGTGTCCCTAGACGTTGGTGTGGTTACCCCATCCCACCCCCATTTTCTGGAAAGAGAAGGGACTTACCAACATCACAGATCATCAAGCTTAAACCAGCACTGGAAATCCAGCTGTGCAACGCTTTGCTCCATAGTCAGGGTGATGCTATAATTTATGGACTAGAAGGTAACAAACTGAATAAAAGGGAGGAACTTAAAGCACAGCCCTTGTGCCCCTCCCATACCATGAAGGCTCTTTGCAGTCTTTGGAGAACAGTTGAGAAAATGCAGGGAAGCATGAATGAATAATTGAAACCACATCCATCCTTAACTTATATGGTACTTGAGTATCACTAAGAATGTGACTACCGTGTGTCATGTGGAGTTGTTTCCCCAATGCACTGGAATAGTTTTCCTCTTCTCTCTTTAAGACGATTTAAAATAGCAGTACAGTAGTCTACAGTGTATGAACAGCTGTGTCTTAAAGACAGACTTTGAGTGAGTGAGCCTCACTGCCCTTAGATACAGATGAGTTTCTGTCTTTCAGGTATTCTATATTGAGGTCAGATCATTGCCTTGGGCTCAAATCTCAGAAGTGAGACTGATAACCGTGACAGCATTTCAAGGCCTTTCAGGCTGTATCAAATATGGGATTGGATAGTGGATGCTGGAAAAACACCAAAGGGATGTTTTCTAGAGGCCATGAACATGCTGAGGAAGGCCATGGCTTGTGTAGGCGGGCCTGGGCTTAGACTCTGTGACAGGAGCAGTGCTCTCCAAGAGGGGGATGAAGGAAGGGGAGGGGAAATTAGGAGAGAGAGAGAAAACACACACACACACACACACACACACACACACACACACACACGCACACACACGGGGGGGGGGAGAGAGAGAGAGAGAGAGAGAGAGAGAGAGAGAGAGAGAGAGAGAGACTTGAAGGATGGTGGCAAAATGATCAAGAGGGAAGAGCCAGAGATAGAGAGGAAAGATAGATGGAGGGACAGAGATAGAGAGATAAAGAGGGGGAGGGAAGTGGGAGGAAGCAGAGGACAGTTAGAAAGGGGAAGGGGAGAGAGAGAAAGAGGCAGGAAGAGGAGAGAGGAAGAGAAAAGGAAGGAGAGGGAAAAAGGGAGGGAGGGAGGGAGGGAGAGGAGGGAAGAGAGCGCACCCAAATTGTGTCTTATGTTTATGTGGCATTTGTTTTCTTAAAATCTATAGTCAGCGAATCTTTCTTAGGTAGAAGGCAGCTATAAACAAGAGGCAGGCATTCTTGTGCCTTTCTAGTAGTTGCCTGTGTGTGGGGGGAGGAGAGAGAAGGGAGAGAGAGAGGAGAGGGGAGAGAGAGGAGAGAGGAGAGAGAGAGGAGAGAGAGAGAGAGAGTTACACAAATGTCTTGCCTCAGAGTTCTGGGAGCTGGATTCTGTCTGACAACAGTGTGTTCTCTGGGGTCACTTTCCTCAGCTTTTAGACTAATCCTCTTACCTAGTCACTGAATCATTATGTTAGAATCTGTTTTTCTTAGAAGGACACTGGGTCATATGTACAGTTGTGTGTCATTGGAGACTGCCTGCAAAACATTTTGTGGGTCCTGGAACCTGTCAGCTTCACCCATACTTGGGGCTTGATTACTGAAGTTTCACCTAACCAGAGATTTAGTTTAAAATTTTATTTAGATGTACATGTGTTTCTGTAGGGAGTGCAGTTGCCCTTGGAGGGTCCCTGGGAGCTATCCAACGTGGGTACTGGGAACTCAGCAAGACTGGTATATGCTCTTAATTTCAGAGTCATTGCCTCAGCCCCAAAGTCTTACCTTAAAAGAGGTGAAGGATTCCATCTGACTCCCAGAATTACAATTTTGCAAGGGCCCACTGGCCTGGAGCATGGGAGACACAGGGCATTCACTGTAGGGTGACACGGAAGTGTGCCGTGCTCCAAGGCCAGCAGGACAAGAAGATTCAGCATGGAATAGACATGATTATAAACGGAAGGTTTGGGATGGGGTACAGCTAGTTCTGGGGTGTGCTGTGTGATGCAGGATAGTGTCCGTGAGTCACAATGGTCATAGATACACGTGTCGTGTTTGGCTCTTCAGAAGCTCCATGGGACAAATGGCACATCCACCTCCACTTCATAGAGGAAACTGAGGTCAGTAAAGTGAAGGTCCCGGCCAGAAAGCTGTGCGCCCATGTGTGGAGAGGCCTGGCTGCCCAGGGTTTTCATGGCTGCCTCAGTTCCAACACCAGCCTCTCTCTTGTCTTTCCAGGGAGAAGCTTGGCAATATGGAGTCTGTTTATATTCTGGACCCTGAAGATGCAGCGCTGCTCTTTTCATGCGAGGGTCCCTACCCGGAACGATACCTTGTGCCCCCTTGGGTTGCTTATCACCAGTATTACAAGAGACCCATAGGGGTCCTGTTTAAGTGAGTTCTCAGTGAACCTTGTGTGTGGAGGGTGTTGGAGGGGAGTGGTAGGGAGAGGGGAAGGGGAGAGAGTGGGTCTTCTCATCTTCCTGTTCCATAAGGTGAAGGATGGTGGTGGTGACGATGATGATGGTGGTGATGATGGTGGTGATGATGGTGATGGTGGTGATGATGGTGGTGATGATGATGGTGGTGGTGGTGGTGGTGATGATAGGGAATTGTCTTCCAACTTCCTGGGGAAAGTCAGGCTGAGGTTTTCCATGAATATCGAAGGACTTTGCAAAGTGCTTTAAGCACGAAGTACCACTTTATCAAGCACCTGCTGAGTAGCAGGCCTTGTGCCAGGTGTTGGCAGTACAGTGGCAAACAAAGTGGCATCCTGACAGCCTGAAGGAGCTACGAGAAGCAGCAAAACCCATCACTGAAATGTAGATATTGCTTTTTACCAAATTGCCTATTGAATAATTTATTTATATATTGCTGGGGTCAGGCCTGAGCTCCGGTTCAGGTCCTAAGGCAGGGAAGGGGTATTGGCTCAAGGAAAACTTCTGACCACCAGGCTGATTACATTCATGTGGCCCTAGATAGTTTGAGCTGTTCTTATTTACACTTTAACAGTTCTTTTCTTAACAGGGTTACATGAACAACTTTGTTATTGGTTCCTATTTTTTACTTTAAGAAAAACATATTTTAAGGAATATATCATAATTATTATGAAAGCCCCCATTGTTCTCATTTAGGCTTCCCCAAACACACTTTCCCACTCCTTGCATAACCTTATTCTAGACATAGAGTTGAGCATTTTTGCAGGCTTAACTAAATATCAAAACAGACACATCCTGCTCTCATAGTACTTGTGTCAGCTGGCAGCTACTTGCTGTCACAAAGTTAAAAAGTAATAGACATGGGCACAATGCTTTAAGGATAACAATATTTCAACCAGACAATTCTTTCATGTCTGCAAGATATGCTTTTATACAGTGTCCTTTTCCACAAGAGGGTCCCATGTCTCAATCTCTGCAAGAGGCAGACTTTGACAAAACACTCTTTTCCCATATCAGTATTCCATACTTCTTCCACCAATATAAGATCCTGTGTATGGTAAGGATGGATCTATCCATCCCATAATTTACATTGCATTTTTCCCCATTGGACCATACCAGATCCCACCAATGATTCTATGCTTGGTGTCCAGGGAACTTACTCTCAACAGTTGGCACTATGTGTGTTCCTGAGGCTTTCCCCCTATCCTGTGTATGCCTGCCTTACTCTCCTTTCCAGAACTGTGAGACATGGTTAATGTTCCAAGTGTTGTTTCCTCATATGTACCCAACTATCTCTATTGAGTCAGAAAAGTTCCCAGGTTTAGGAATTCCAGATAAGAGATTTGAGAAACATTAGCCTCCTGCTGAATCTTAGGGGAAAATATTCGAGAAAGAACAGAATTTCCAGGGAAAATTACAGCTGTGGCATGTGTGACTGACAAAGTAAAACTAAAAACCACACAAAGAATCAACAATATAATGAGAGAGAAAAGAGTCTGCAAGCTGATGAATTTTGCAAATTCCTATGCTGTCCTGTGGACTACTGGCCCTTGCCAAGTTGACAGTCCATTTCTATGGGTGTCTTGCCCCAAGGGAACCCATTGGACATGTAGTTATATGTTGATCTGAGACTAGGCTGCATGGCTCCCTACAGAACTGTCCTGAAACATAAAACTGAGTGGAGAAGGCAAGTGCTGCTAAAGTCTGACAAGTGTTTTAAAAATCTGGAAATACCCAGGCAGTGGTGGCACATGCCGTTAGTCCCAGCTCTCAGGAGGTAGAGGCAGATGGATCTCTGTGAGTTGGAGGCCAGGCTGGTCTACAGAGCAAGTTCCAGGACAGCTAGGGCTGTTACAGAGAAACTGCCTCAAAACACCACCACCACCACCACCACCACCACCACCACCAACAACAACAACAACAACAACAACAACCTGGAAATAATTGTATAATTATTTTAAGTATCTTTTAGGAATATATGTAGATTCAATAAAACCATATACAAAAAGAGGCCAGGGATTCAGGTTGGGGGTTCTCTATAGCTGGAGTTTCTTTCCAGCTGGGTCCTGCAACTGATTAGCCCCAAATAAATACACAAAGACTTATACTAATTTATAACTTGTTGGCCGATGTCTAGGGCTTCTTACTGGCTAGCTCTCTCTTAATTATTAACCCATTTCTATTAATCTAAGTATTTCCATGTGTTCTTGGCTTACCCGATAATGCCCTGGCATGTTACTCCTTCTGCCTCTACATAGTGTCTCTCCAGTGGCTTCTCTCTCCTTACTCCTTCCTCTCATAGCCCCACCTATACTTCCGGCCTGGCTACTGGCCAATCAGTGTTTTTTATTCATCAACCAATAAGAGAAACATATGTACAAAAGGACATCCCCCATCAGCTCTCCAAATGGTGAAGACTTCTATGGGAGAACAAGGTAGGTTGGGGCCATGATTTTACAACATTCTTTGCCCCCAAACTCCACACTTTTCTTGTAAAAGTTTTTATTATTTTTTTTTCATGTATATGGGTGTATGTCTGTGTAAGTGTATGCCATGCGTTTACAGGTGACCCTGGAGGCTAGAAGAGGACATCAGGTCCTCTGGAGTTGTTAGAAGTAGTTGTGAGTTGCCCTACAGGGATGCTAGAAGCTGAATGTGGTTCCTCTGAAGAGCAGTAAGCCATCTTGCTCACTTACAACAATATTCTTAAACAAACTCCCAAATTAGGATAAGAGCTTTGTACAGGTTGATTTTTATGTGTGTCATGAATAGAGGTTTTGAAAATAAAATTTACATTTATGTATGTGTCCATACATTTGTATGTGTGTGGACATGTGCACAACATTGCACACGTGTGGAAGTCAAAGAATATGTTACAGGAGTCATGTCTCTCCTTCCACCTTGTGGGTCCCAGGACTTGAACTCAGGTATTCAGGCTTAGTGGCCAACATCTTTACCTGCTGAGACTTTGCTCTGTTCCTAAACTCAGGGTTTTAATGAAATGATTCTGAGTAGCTGGGATCCCCAACAAGGTGGATACTCAGACACTTTGGGGAGGGAAGGTCAGTCAACTTCACTTGTGTGGGAATGAGAAAGACGACAGAGAAGCAACAACGTTGTTCAAGGACCAGAAGGCAGGGGAATGCAGGCAAGATGGGCTTAGAGTTACTTACTTCAAGGGAGGTGAGAGTTTCCAGTTCTTGGTGGTGGTGGGTGGTGGTGGCAGCAGTCAGAGTGGAAGGCAGCCAGGCTTTTGTTCTCTGTCACCATCTTTCTTCCAATATCCTCTCCTACGTCAGGCAGGGAGGGAGTGGGAGACAACAGTGAACATTGTCCAGGGAGGCAGGAGATGGTGATGCTGCAGGCCTGAAAGCTAGAGATCCCAGCCAGTGCCTCTGTGCCAGGCCTGGGGTCTGTGACCATGAGGTGGGACATGTGTTTCCCCAGGAGTTCAGACGCTTGGAAGAGAGATAGACTTGTCCTAAACCAGGAAGTGATGGCGCCTGAAGCCATCAAGAACTTCGTGCCCCTGCTGGAAACTGTAGTTCGGGACTTCATCGATGTCTTACACAGACGCATCAAGCAGCAGAAGTCTGGAAATTTCTCAGGGGACATCAGTGGTGACTTGTTCCGCTTTGCCTTTGAGTGTAAGGGTCTTGCATTTGGCTAACAGGAGTTGGGGCCTGGGAACCAGCTTGTGGTTGTGTTGCTTCTCAAATACACTCCACTCTCAGCCACCAGGGGATAGCCAGGTCCCTGCCATCTGACATTTATGTTGTGGGGGTCCCCAAAACATAGGTTCCCCCAAACCACCATCCTTGAGCAGGAAGGAGGAGGCCTTTGTGGTTGACCTAAGCTGGGTGTTGAAGGACACCTAGAAGCTATGCAGACTGGGTAAGGAAGTTAGGCAGCTTAGACCAGGCAACAGTGCGTGCATATGGCTTAATGGAGGTCATATGATGCCTGTAGGAGATTTGGGGTACCCTGGGCTTGGTGTGAAGTTGGCATTGAAATTCTTCATGTGGTAGGTGAGAAAACTGGAAGGTAGTTGTGACCTTTTAGTTCCAGCCAGACTGAGTCCTGGGTAACTCAGAGACTGATGTCCCAAGTCTTCCAGCTCATATGTAATGTAGTGAATGCAGCCAACTGCAAGGGGAAATCCTCCTGGACAGTTCCAACCTGGCTCAGGTGGAGTCCAGGCTTCCCACAAAAGCATCCTTTTCAGGACCTCCCTTCTATCCCTCTGAGGGACCTGAGTGCCTCCCAGAAGGGCAGCCCCCGCCCCCCCTTTTTTTTTTATCCCTTGGGGCTCAGGTCTCAATTTCTTCGCTAGAGAAAGCTAAGGATGAGGGCGAGCTCCTGTGTGGGGTGGGCACGGGTGGAGATGATTCTGGGAGCTGAGGCTCTCCGACAGCCAGGTTGGAAGGGTGTCCTCAGCCTCAGCTTCCCACTGCAGCCATCACCAGTGTTGTATTTGGGGAGCGCCTGGGAATGTTGGAGGAGATAGTGGACCCTGAGTCCCAGCGGTTCATCGATGCCGTCTACCAGATGTTTCACACCAGTGTCCCCATGCTCAACCTGCCTCCAGAACTTTTTCGATTCTTCAGAACTAAGACCTGGAAGGAGCATGCAGCTGCCTGGGATGTGATTTTTGAAAAAGGTGAGGACTCCTCTGGTCGTACTCAGGAAGTGGGCTCATCACACTGGGAGAGTGCTCCTAGCTGGATGCCTGGCCTTGCTGCCTCTGTGTTTCAGGATTAGTCAATGGGCACTGATTTACCATTGAGCAGGGATGGAGGTTGACTACTGGAGGTTTTTTTTTTTTTTTTTTTTTTTTTTTTTGGGGGGGGGGGGAAAAATTGTTTGTCCATGGTATTCCTTAAAAGATCTCATGCCTAGAGGCTGGAGAGGTGACTTTGCAGTTAAGGACACCTGCTTGTCTTACAAAGGACAGGAATTTGAATTCCAGGATTCACATCAGGAGACACAACTTCCTATAGTTCCAGCTACAGGGGATTTGATGTATTCTTCTCTCCTCCACAGGTACCAACACTTATACACACAGACACACATATGCACGTACACACACATGCATGCACACATAACAAATGCACATGTACACTCAATTTAAAAAATAAGCTCTTAAGAAAAACTCCTTTTTAAAAAGGTGCTTGTTATCTATAGAGCTGAGGGCTAATGGCTGAGCCATAGTTGTCTGGGTGACAGGAGGCTTTGGGGTAGGGCTAGGGTGTGTTGAGAGGGGAAGATTGATGGATAAAGTTGACTGGGGTGTGGTGAATTCAAATGTCACCTTGGCCATCAGTACCTGTGTAATCTTGGGCAAGCAACCATCTCTGCCCAGTTGGCAAAGTGCTGTTTGCAAGTGTGAAGAACTGAGTTCAATTCCTGGGACTCATTAATTCACAGGGGTGCTTGCTTGTGGGTTCCTGGGGTTCACTGACCAGCTATCTGAGACACTTGGTGAGCTCCAGACTCCCACCTCAAAGAGACAAGGTGGATGGTGCCTGAGGAACAACAGCTGAGGTTGTGTCTTACTTCCACATACATATATACACCTGCATAATGTGCTCTCTCTCTCTCTCTCTCTCTCTCTCTCTCTCTCTCTCTAAAAAACAATGGAATCTTGAAATTTGCAGGAAAATGGATGGATCTAGAAGAAACCATTCTGAGCCAGGTATCCCAATCACAAAAAGACAAACATTATATGTACTCACTCATATGTGGATTTTAGACATAGAGTAAGGGATTACTCTATGTACATCCTACAATCCACACTGCCAGAGATACTAGTAAACAAGGAAGACCCTAAAAGAGACAAACTTTGTCCCCTGGAGAAGGGGAAAGGGTCACCATCCCCTGAGCAAATTGAGAACATGGGAAGAGGGGGGAGGAAGCTATGAGAGTGAGAAGGGAAGAAAAGGAAGGATGCAGAGGTCATGAGGAAGCAGAAATTTTGAGTCAGGTGTAGATTAGAAGAAAGGACATATGACAGGTAGGACTTTAGTTGGGGGAGTGGTAGAGGAGGAAGGGAGGGAGAAGGGAACTGGGATCGTCATGCAATTCAATCTTGTTTGTAATTTAAATATATAAAAAATTAAAAAAAAGAATTAAATGACAAGGACTGGAGAGCTGGCTCATTTGTTAAGAGTACTGGCTGCTCTTCCAGAGAGCCTAAGTTTAATTCCTAGTGTACATGGTAATTCACAACTGTGTGTAACTCCAGTTCTGGGGGATCCAACACCCTCCTCTGGCCTTCATGGACATTGCACACACACGGCACACAGACATACATGCAGGCAAAACATTAATACACACAAAGAGAAAAAAAATTAAAAGAAAGAATTAGATGACAAAACAGACATGAAGGGGTTAGTACAAAATAAAGGCTTAGTAAAATGACTGACTACCAATAGGAGTTCTAGAATATTAAGGCCCTGGCACCCTCCCACCTCCATGAAGACTGATGTCCCTCCCACCGTCCCACCTGCAGGGAGCCTCACCCTGTTCTTCCTCCTGCCCCACAGCTCATGATTACACCAAGAACTTCTACTGGGACTTAAGGCAGAAGCAAGAGTACAGCAAGTACCCTGGTGTCCTTTATAGCCTCCTGGGTGGCAACAAGCTGCCCTTCAAGAACATCCAGGCCAACATTACAGAGATGCTGGCAGGAGGGGTGGACACGGTAAGTGCTGTGGGGTCCATTGTGAGCCTCCTTGGTGTCCACATGCTCCCTTCCACAACAGCTGTGCTATCAGAAGCACTGCTGTTCAGTGCAAGGGGCTGGGTCCTCTTGTATAATATGCTTCTCTCTCTTGGTGTCAGACCCCAAACGGTTGTCTCTTAGAAGGGTGAGGTCAAAGTCCTACCATGAACCAAACACTATTCACCACCTTTGGGCATGATTTGAGCCTGATCTGTCTGTGAGAAAGAAGGAATAACAGGTTCAGTTCCTGCATAGAATTTTGGTTGTTTTTGAGATGGGGCTTCTGTAGCCCAGGGTGGCTTTGAACTAACTCACTATGTAGTCAAGGATGACCTTGAACTCTTGATTCTTCTGCCTCCACTCCCTGAATGTGGGAATTACAGGGGTGCTTTACCACATCGGATTCATGAAACATTTTATTTTTTTGTGCGTGTGCATGAGTGTTTTGCCTGCATGTATGTCTGCACCATGTGAGTGCCTTGTACCTGGAGAGGATAGAAGATGGTGTCAGTTCCCTTGGAACTTGCATTATAGTTGCAAGCCATGATAGGGGTGCTAAAAATTGAATTCAGATCCTCTTAAATGCTGAACCATCTCTCCTGCCCCATGTTTGATTTTATACAATGCTGAGATCAAACTCAAGGCTTCTTGCATGGCAGGCAAGCATTCTATCAAGTGAGCTACATCTCCAGAGCCTTTGTATGCTTTTGTTGTTGTTTGAGACAAGGTCTCATTCTGTAGTGCAAGTGGGCCTGAAATTCACTCTATAGGTCAGGCTGGTCCAGAACTCATACCAGTTCTCCTGCCTTGAGTTCCAAGTGCTGGAATTAGTGTTCTCAGTCCAGGAGTCTGTTAGTTTTGGGAGTTTAAGACATAACAGCACAGATGAGTGGCTACAACAACAGACACTTATTTTATCACAGTTTGAAGCTGTAACCAATATCACAATGTGGGCAGGATTGGTTCATTCTGAGGCTTGACTCCTTGGCTTGTTGGTGGCCATCTCCCTCATGCCTACACATGGGTGTCCCTCATGATGTCTGTCTTGACTTCTTCCTCTTCTTAGGACATCAGTTACTGGGCTAGAGCCCACACCCACATCCCCCTTTACCCCATAGTCTCCTTAGAGGGTGTATCCAAATGCAGTTATTTGTGAGATATTAAGAGTTTGGATGAAGACATGTGGATTTGGGGCTGGAAGCAGTGTGATAAGAAAACTGTCACATGTCACAGTGCTTGATGGCAGAGGCATGCACATCAACTGACCACTAAGAGTCTAAAGAAGAATTGTTGTTTGTGGGGGTGGTGTTCAGTGTTGGTCATGAGATTCCTCTCAGGGAGGCAGTTTTGATTCCGACTGTGGTAACTGGGCTGGGGCAGCCACATCAATGATCTGCTTGCAAGATTCCATTCTTGAAATCTCAACACCATCTAAATTCCTCTTATCTTGTTGTCTTCAGCTTCAGAAAGAAGAGATAGCGCAGGCAAACTCAAGACCAATCAACCTTGTGTACCAGCTTTTACAAATGTTCCTCACTGATTAGATGGTGTTTTTTGAGCAGAGTTGAGCAAGAATCTGACTCAGAGTTCAGGGTTGCAAAAAGACAGAGATGTGGATGGAGACCGTGAGGTCATTCTGGATGGATTCTCCACCCCGCCCCCCCTTAAAAGATGTCAAACTTTTATCCTGTGTTCTGTTGCCTATCTGGAAATGAAAGAGTCTGTGTTTTTAGTTAACAACAGACACGAAGGCCTTGCGACACTATGAGGTATAACACTATCATCTTTTCTTTTTAGGTGAACAGTGGTACAGAGAGGTAAAGTAACTTGCTTGAGGCAGACAGGTAGTAGAGTGGAATGGACTACCTTGTTTGACAACTATCCCTGGGTATCTACTCTGTAGCAGGTCTTGGAGGCTCTGAGATAAACACACATGTGATTGCTGTTTTCAAGAGTCTGTATTTGCTTTCTGGGTAGGTAAAGGAATTCTAGGAGGAGGAACTGCCTTGGGGAAGATGCCCCAATCTGCAGCTCTGTGTAGCTAGGGTGATGGCCATGTATTGAAGAGGGTTTAGGAGAGATGCTGGGGTGGCAGCAGGCATGAGTCCATGGGTCAGGTTGGAGCCTCTGCACTTTGTTTGGAGGCTCTGATAAGCCACAACTTAAAGCCAGGAAGTAACGTGACATTTTTTCCATTTTTGTTTCTGCTGGGAAGAAAGAGGTGTGTATGTTTAAACCTCTTGGACAGAAATATGATCCTTGACATGTCTGCAATCCATGTCCCCTGCCCCAAAAGGGAGGGTGTTTCAGGCTGAAGCCTCAGATGGGTTTAGTCTGTGGACCTGGGTGAGTCTGACACTGTGGGGCTTGAGGAGGGTCACTGATGCAGCCTCCAGTGGAGGACCAAAGGCTGCAGCCTCTGGCTCTCGTTGAGGTTACATTGTTAATCTCAGTCTGCCTTTTGCACCAACTGCAGCAAAGATGGAGAGCAAATCTGTGGCCTGGTTTCAGAATGGTTGAGTCTTATTTTCTGCTGTTGGGATGAATGCTGAGATTCCGCCTGCTATCTATGAGCAGGTGGTTGTTGTATGAAGGACACCAAAGGAATGACAGTCATTTGGGTGGATAAACTTTTTTTGTTTTGTTTTATTTCATTTTGCTTTGGGAGATGGTGTTTCTCTGTGTAGCCCAGGCTTTCCTGCAACTTGCCCTGTAGACCAGGCTGCCCTTGACATAGGTGGACAAACCTTACAAAGGTATAAATACGGTTTCTGGAAGCCTGTGGAGCCCTCGGGAAGAGGATTTTGGCTATGTAGCTAACATTCTATTGGTTAGGAGATGAGTGAGAGCTGGTGACATGTAGGATGAAGGCAGAGGGACATCCTGCTCTGAATATTTTTTTCCTTGGTATTAACTATTTTTTGAGACAGTGTATCAGGTAGCCCAGCCTGGCCTTGAACTTGTATAGCTGAGGATAACATTGAACTCCTGCCTCTCAAATGTCTCAACACACCCAGTTTATATGGTGCTGGTGATTGAACTCTAGACCTTGTGCATGTTAGGCAAGCACTTTACTAATTGACTACATCACAAACTCCCTACCTGGACACTGAGAAAACCTTAAACAATGGCCTTTCAAAGGTTTTGCAAATGCTCTTGGATATGGAAGTTGAGAGTAGAAGAGAGAGAAGTTCTTTAATGTGGATCATAGACACTAAGGTGCCTTGAAGTGATGGACCTTTCTGGCTTTTGCAACCCATGTATTCCTTCCAGACCTCCATGACCCTGCAGTGGAACCTTTATGAGATGGCACACAACTTGGAGGTACAGGAGATGCTGCGGGCAGAGGTTCTGGCTGCCCGGCGCCAGGCCCAGGGAGACATGGTCAAGATGGTGCAGTTGGTCCCACTCCTAAAAGCCAGTATCAAGGAGACACTGAGGCAAGTTCATTATACCCATGCCTTCTCACCCCCCAACCCCCTGAGGAAGGGTTCCTAGGATGGGCTAGTAGAGATTAGAAATGGGCAGTGAGAAGTTTGGAAGGGATGAGCAGGACTGGGGAACATAAACATAACCAGGTCCTGCCTTAGTTTCTCCCTGGGGTGCTGTAGTGGGGGCTGAAATGCCAGGCTGGTGTGGGACTCAGGGTGGAGGATATTTCCCGGTTCCAGGGTCTGGGACCATCTATCTCTGAGGGTCCTCTTTCTGCAGACTCCACCCCATCTCCGTGACCTTGCAGAGATATCTTGCAGATGACCTGGTACTTCGAAATTACAGGATTCCTGCCAAGGTAGGACTCAGGTGCTCTGCCAGTCAGATGGAGGAGAGGAGGGAGCAGGCTTCAATTCCAGGTAGATGGTGGTGATGGGGGCTTCTAGATGAGCCTTTCTTCCTGATGCTGGGGCATTGGTAGAACACTCAGACACAGTGGTCTCAGTTTGCATGAACAGTACTGGCGGTAGGCATGGTGGGTAATGAATACTGGAGTCCAGGGTTACAAGGCTAAACTGACTGGTATTTCTGGGCTGAGGGTGAGACATTTCAATGATTGAGAAAAGCATAGGGAAACCCTGTGGGTTATTCCCTGAGGGGCAGGAGGCTTGTTTGAAGCTACACAGTGGACAGAAGGACCTGCCGTGTCCTGTCTTGGGTAGCTGGGCAGCCAGGCTTGGAAGCAGGGTCCCGAGGAAGCTGGGGCTAGGGTTGCACTCAGAACTATGGGGAATTTCAACTGCTCAAGCTTTGTTGACTTGCTCCCAGATGCTGGTGCAGGTGGCTAACTATGCCATGGGCCGAGTACCCAGCTTCTTCCCCAACCCAAACAAGTTTGACCCAACTCGGTGGCTGGAAAAAAGCAAAAATATCACCCACTTCCGTTACTTGGGCTTTGGCTGGGGTATTCGGCAGTGTCTGGGCCGGCGGATTGCAGAGCTGGAGATGACCATCTTCCTCATTAATGTGAGTGGGGCTCTGGGACATGTCAGCACCCTGGGATTTCCATGGCCCCAGCAAAGTCATCAACCCTCCTCCTCCTCCCGTCTCAGCATTCAGGGAGTGCAGGATCAGGGCTTATCAGTCTCCTACAACTCCCAGCTGCCTCCCCACGTGGACTAACCCACTTATCACCTGTCCGCACTCGGGTGGTGAGGTGGGAGAGGTTTCTCAGCAGATGAGTTAGGTCAAAGCCTAAAGCTATGAAATGCAGGGCCCATTTAGACATGGCGAGAGACTGAATAATTGGTGGCGTGTTCTTTAAACCATTCTCAACATATCAACCCCGTGACTACAGCTGTCAAGTGTGTGTGACCCAGGGGAGACAAATATTCCTTAACATTTCCCAAGGCCACCTCCTCCTCCTTCAGGTGCTGGAGAACTTTAGAATTGAAGTCCAGAGTTTCCATGATGTGGGGACCAAGTTCAACCTCATCCTGATGCCTGAGAAGCCCATCTTCTTCAACTTCCATCCTCTCAAGAAGGACCTTGGCACAACCATGATCAGATAGGGTGGCACTGTCTGAACTTCAGTCTGGAGTCACATGGGGAGATGACCTAATGGGGACATTTGGGTGGGTGTCTCTGTATCTCCAGAAAAACCTGATCCTTTGGGGTGGTTCTTAGCTCTCAGTGGCCACCTACCTAGGTTAGCTGGACCCTCCTCTTCTTCATCCCCTCTCCTCCTTTATTTACCCAGAAAGTTAATAAACAAATAAACTCTGGGGAGTGTTTTCATTTATATCAGATTCCTGAGGCATTTGTTACCCCCCATGGAGATGAACCCTGATCCCCTGGTCAACAGTGGGATGAGGGGCACTTAGGAAGATGGGAAGCTGTTACATAGCCCACCCATGGCCCCTGCTCACACCATCAGTTCAGGAGCTAGCAGAATCTACCTTAAGATTGCAGTTATCAGGAGAGACTAGTTCCATCAGGCCAGAAGTTACCAAAAATGGATCCGGGGAGCTCTGCTGTGAGGACAGGGTGGCCAGAGAGATGTGGGTAATCCCTGTCTTCCTGGGTGGAACTGCATGAAAGGTGGGGCTGGTGTGAGGTTCTGCTTGGCTGACTGTAGTAGGAGCCTCTTGTGGGGTTGTAAGGACTTTCTTTGAAGGCTCCTCCATCTTGGCCATGGTCATGGCTGAAGCCTGTGGTGAAATATCAGCTAGTAAAAGGCTGAAGTGAGGTGATGGGGCCTGAAGACAGAGGCCAACAGGCTTCCTACCCTCTGTCTCCAGTCCTGAGGGCACGCCCCAGGTCTGTTCTCTTGCTACAGGGGAGCATATTCTAAGAGCTCAGGATGGGGTCTGGCTCAGAATTTGGTTTGTATGACATCTGTCCCTGTCCAGGTCTAAGCTCCTCTGGTTCTATATCTTGCCATAAGCAGGTGCCAGATTCTTGTTGGCCCTTGGCTACCCGAGGCTAAGTCCTGTAGACAGGTGTGGAGGCTGGGCCTGCTCAGAACAGTGGCCAAGTTGGCTTGGTCCTTTCTCTTCTTGAACTGTTTGATTCTCCATACTCCATGGCCCTCCTCCCACGTCTCTCTCTGTCCTTCATGCTTCCTTTCTCTCCTCTCAAAGATGACTCAGAAATGTCAGTGCTGCAAAGGGTCTCCTTTCAAGACAGACAGCCTTGCATGGGATAGATGAAGACTCTGCAGGTCAGAAAGATTTCCAGTCAGCCAGAGTCACCCAGAATGCTCATGGCCAGATCCCAAGCTAGCTGGGATCCCAGCCCTCATGACCTCCTGACTCTGACTATATTTTTACACCATGTAACCAGCTCTGTCAACCATAATGGGATATCTGAGTAGTGTCATAGGAAGGCTTCCAGTCTTCCTGTTCCCAGGAGACTCTGAAGACATAAGCCTGGGTAAAAGGATGTTAGAAATGAAGAGATGCTGGGAACTGAGAGGAAGCCTAGCCTTTTTCTTGTCTTGCACAGAGCTTGGCTTTAGGCACCTTATTTTTAGTCTCCATGGTCTCTCTCCTCAGGACTGCCTAGGGATTATCATAGCTCTGGCTTTCCAGGACCCAAGCTGGATGTGAAAAGAATAGCTGATCCACTGCTGACTGCCTTACTCCAAGAAAGGGACAAATGCTTATTGAGTTACAGTATTTACTATAGACATCTTTGGCATGGGGATGACTCCCGGTACATGGGGAAAGGAGGCCAGCTCCAGGCTCAGGTCTTCTGGAGGTTAGAGGTCTCAATGTAGGAGTTTGAGGGTTTGGGTTTGCAGAGCTTCGTGTCTGAGCTGGTCAGTGCGGGTTCCAGTTTGGAGGACTGTTGGGGATCCTTGGTCACTCCAGCATGCTGTGACATACAATATAGGTCAGATAAGTACATCCCCATTCCCAGGGTACACTGCCTCAGGGCACCTTGCCTGGCAAGTCATACTTCTGAGGATCCAAACCCAGTAGGCTGTGGCTTCTGAACAACTTTGGAACCCATTTTATCACTGCAGGTGGTGCCTACTTTCCCTGGGTCCCTAGGACTAGATGAGATTGCAGAGGTAGTCCTATACTCCCTGAAATCTTCAGGTTCTGCCTAGGGGCAATTGAGCCTTGGCTGCCAAGTGCTGATAGATCAAAAGTAGGAGAGTCAGAATTTTTTCCTGTAGGGTATGAAGTCCCCAGGTTGGGCTTGTGGGGGCTGCAATGTGACTCTAAGACTCTATCTAAGAAGGAAGCTAAACAGAAATCTATTGCACTAGAAATTGGGAGGGAAGAGGTACAAGGTATTCTGCCCATGTATAATGCCGAAGTATATCCAGAACATTCTAGAAATGCCCGTGTAGGCCATTTCTCACCCACAGCTATCTCCTCCTTGAGGTTCAGGACAATCAATGGGAAAGGGGACATGTCGGCAGGCATTCCTATCCCTTTAGATGAGTGGAGGAATGGAGGTGATATGAGTATCCAGTTTGCTGACAGTAGGACTTCAGCTCAAGACTTCTGAGACTTAGTTTAAGATCTATTCCCCAAGTTTTTCTCAGGGCCCACCCTAACACCTGGATCCCCAGGAACTCCTGTGTCAGGGTCACTCACACTTTGGACCTGGATCCCCAGGAACTCTCTGTCAGGGTTACTCACACTCTGGTTTATAATGGATTTTGATGGCTGTCCAAAGCCGTGTTGTTGCTCCTGAAGCCGTATGGCCAAGTTTTGCTTCTCTTTTGCCCAGTGGCGAGCTGAGTCCTCCAGCTGCAGACATGGAGAGGAACATTTGGAAAGCCAGAACTCAGCACAACTCCTGCCCCAGAGCTAGGACAGAGTTTGGGCTTGTCTTCTGGGAAAAGGCAAAGCTCTGTCAATAGCAGAGTGAGGGGCCAAACAGGAAGCCTAAAGGCCTAAGACACAGATGGATCTTCTGGGAAGTCCATATGGAGTCCACACTCTGAGCTGCATCCACACTGAGCCTTCACTCTGGTCACAGACTAGGGCTGACCTGGTTACATAATGGACCCTAATTCTGCAGTCACACATTGAGCCTTGATCCTGCTTGTATACTAAGCCTTGCTCCTGGCCAGAGGCTGCACAGTGAGCCTGGTCCAGCCTGATCAACCCCAGCATCTCACCTACCTGGTTTTCCAGGGATAAGATCCGACTCTGAGCTTGTTCTAGCTTGGCCAGGAGAGTAAACTTGTCTGAAGTACTACCAAGGAGATCCTGTGGGAGCAGACACTCATATGAGGTCCCAGCTGGGAGCTGAGGCGTTGAGAGCTGAGGGAGTGAAAGGTACTTCGGGAAAAACCAGCCAGGTGTGTGTTTCAAATTCAGCTGCAGATACAGAGCCTCACTCCTGGACCAGGGCCTCTTCCTTAAGATCTGCGTAGGGCTTGATGTTCACTGTTCCCCATTCAGATTAGGGGAATCGAACATTAATTTTTTTTATAAAGGAAAACATTTAATTAGGGCAGACTTACAGTTCAAAGGTTTAGTTCATTGTCATCATGGAAGGAAGCATGGCAGCATGCAGGCAGACATAGTGCTGGAGCAGTAGCTAAGAGTTCTACATGGAGATCCACAGGCAATTGGAAGACAAGACTCTGGAACTGGTTTGAGTTTCTGAAACCTCAAAGCCCTAAAGGCCATACCTACTCTAACAAGGCCACACCTCCTAATAGTGTCACTCCCTGGTGACCAAGTGTTCAAATCTATGAGCTATGGAGGCCATTCCTATTCAAAGCACCACAGTGTGTAATTCTCTTTGTTGGGTCTTTATGTGGTTTGGGCATCAGGGTAACTACTATAGAATTCTATACTAAAACCATCTGGCCCTGGGCATCTTTTGGCTGGGAGACTTTTTTTTTTCTCTCATACAATACATTCCAATGGAAGCTTCCCTTCCCTCTACTCCTCCCAGTCCCCTTTCCACACCTCCCCTCTCCCTCCCAGAATGACTGCTTTTATCTCATTGTTATAGGTCTGTTTAAATTAACATTAATTTTTTTAAAGGCAGGATCACATATATTCCAGGCTGTCCTTGAACTCATTACATCATGAGAATAACCTTGAGTTCTGATCTTCCTGCCTTCATCTGAGTGCTGGGATTATAGGCATGTGTAGGTTTATGTGGTGCTGGGGATCAAACACAGGGCTTCATATATGCTAGACAAGCACAACCTCAACTGAACTACACCCCCAACTCACACCTAATGTTTTATCATATCAACTGCTTATGCCAAGTGCACTAATGAGCTCCCTTTAATACCCAAGACGCGGCTGAACTGGGAGTCTTTGTGGATGAAGGTTCAGCAAAACAAAGGATGCCCAAATTTCATGCTTTACCTGTCTGCCCATGCACTGGGACATTCCAAACAGAAAACATTTCCTGGGTGAAGAGAAGCACTCACCTGTGTCATCTAGCCACCATACCTCCAAATATTGACTTTGGGTTTGTGTACAGTAGGGACACTTGAAGCAGACTGGGCAGTGGAGTAGCCCCCAGGACACCCACCTGTGCTGGCAGGGTCTCTGTGCACTTGGAGTGGCCTGGGCCATTTGTGTCTCGTAGCCTCTCTGCCAAGTCTCCACCTGCTCCCAACTCCCTGGGATCCACCTGGGATGGGGAAAAGGGCTCTCCAAGGCTGCACAATCCCAGAAGGCCCTGAGAGGCCCATGGTGGGAAGAGGGTGTCCAAGTGGGAGCAAATCAGGTGGTAGGTGGAGTCAGGGTTCAGGGGCCAAGGGTGAGCCAGGGCCTTGCTCTCTCCCATGGTGCTAGATGAGGGCAAGACATTCATCTTAGGAGCACAAATGCAAGGAATACAAGGCATGAGTGTGAATGTTACTAGTGGTGCTGGGTGCTGGGAAGCCCAGAGTCTGGGCTGGATCTTCAACCTGGCTCAAGCTGGGGGTGATTGTGGGATACATGCCGGTGCTGGCAGGCTCAAGTCAGACCTGTGTTGGCAGCTCTTACCGGCAGGGCTTGCTGCTGAAGAATGATGGGGGCTGACTGCTGGCGGTTCTTTTCCAACTCTGCCCGCAGCCTCGTGTTTTCTGCCAGCAGCATGGAGTAAAGATCCATAGTCACATTCTCCCCTGTGGGATCCAGATGAATGCCAGAGGCTGTGAACACAGGGAAAGCTGTGAACATGGCCACAGGTGCTTGTGAGATGGGCTTTCTTGCCTCCGTGTCCCCGTTTGCCCCAACATTTTGCTCCATTCTGCTCCCAAGCTATCAATGACTCCCCTTTGCCAGCGGAGTCAGGTCCGTATCCCTCAGGCTATATTGCCAGGCTGTTTAGAATTTTACTCCATTGTCTTCCCTGTCTTCCTCCCTACTCATTTGTCCCCATATTTGTCTCTGGTCCCTCTCTGCTCCTCCATAGAGTCTAGCCCACACTCCAGGTAACTTAAGGGTCCCTGAAACTTCTATTGTTTTCTGGAGACTTTCAGACCCCCAGTGCCTAGCCATCAGTGAAGACTGAGCCCAGGGCCATGCCTACAGAGATACTTGGGGAGTCTCTCCACATGGCCAGGGAGATGACTGACCCAATACAGTGTCATCTTATTCTTTCCTTATTATCAATCTTTGATTGACAGTTGTGAATAGCTGTGGTCTCTACCAATGTGGAAAATAAACTGATTCCATCAGGGTGGTTTTGTCTTTTTGCTTTGTGGAGGCAGAATAGAAAAGATGCCAAGGGGTGAGGGGAAGCTAAAGACTTGGGGACTGTTGCTTAGAAGGCCCTCCATCTGGGGAGGTCTCTCTCTGCTCCTGTGGTTCATGCAGCCTCAACCCTAGAGGTCTGGTCTCTTTCTACTTGGCTCACACAGTGTCCTTGTGTCCCAAGGGACTCTGAACACCATAGAAGCTCTCAGTACTCCTCTACCTAAGAGAGGAGAGGTGTAATACTATCCTGGTTGTCTCTCTCCAGCTCAAAGACACAATAGAGCACTGCCCCCCCCTTAAAGTTTTTGTGACACTGGGGAGGGGGGCATGGGCTCCAGGGTGAGACAAAAGGCTGGAAAGTCATTTACTCTGAGATCTACCTTGAGGAGCAGGCCATCCCACGATGGGCTTCTCCAGCAGCCTGTTGGATGGTGCTGGCTCCTTCCTCTCACGGAGCCTTTCTTCCAATAACTGCTCCATCTTCTCAATCACCTGGGGACAGAGACCAAGGCTGGGCTGGCCTGAGACCTCCACAGCCTCCAGGCTGCAGCCCCTCCTCCGCAGATGACCCCAGCACTTGCCTTCTCTTGGTGCCGCACAGTGTCCTCCAGGGCCTTCATCTTCTGCAGCTTGTCTTGGTACCGTTTCACCTGAGCAGCCTGTGGCTGCAGGGCCTGATACAGAAGCAGCAATTCCTTTTCCCGATCATTCTTCTGCAGGGTGTGGGGGGGCGTGAATGGGTACCTGGGAGTTACCCCAGCCACCAGGGTACGTGTGGGATCCTGCTCAACACTGTGCTGCTAGCCAGTTTGCCTCCCCACCGTGTGATTTCTTTCTGCTCTGGAATATTTCTCAGGACTTTGCTTGGTGGCACTGTCCCTCTGGCCATCAAGCCTTGGCTCACCCGAATCAGCTCATTCTGCAGGTGTTGCACCCTGTCTCGAAGCTTCTTTATATCCAGTTCACTCAGTAGTAGCCTGTGCTTCATGGACACTGCTGGGGTGGGAAGAAGCTAGCTTGAGAGTAGATGGAGGCAAGGGTACCCCGGCTCTGAGGTTTGACTCAGAGATTGTAGTTTTTTGTTTTCCCTCCTAAGATGCTATAGTTGGGCAGATTGTACAAGTGTCTCTACAGTGGGGAGGAGTGAGAAGGGTAGGAATCTCATGCGACACACAACATCTGGAGAAAGCTCCCTATCACCCTGGCAACGAGCAGTGTGAGCCCCAGGCTATGCTCAGCTCAGAGCCTGGGCCCAGCAGGTATCCAAGGCTCACCCAGGTTCTCCTCTTCAGCTCTGCTCTGCTCCTCTTCTATGCTCTGCTGGGTCAGGTGACTCCTTAGTGTGCGGTTCTCCTCCTCCAGGATGTTGGCTTGCCTCCTCAATGCCAGGATGTCCTCTGCCATCTTCTGCATGGCCCGCTGGTAGTTGTTCATCACCTATGGTCCCATAATCCTCAGCTGAAACTTTACTCCATGCCTAAGCCCCCAGGATTCCATTTTACATCTGTACCCACAGTGAACACTCTCAACTCAATGAGCAATGTCAGCCTTGGGTTGGCCCCAAGTCTTAATGATTGTCTAGAAGAGTGGTTGGGCATGGTCCCCATCTCTCCTGGCAGAATTAGGACAGCCACACTAATGGGACCACAATGATTCATATGACACCAGGGGTTCCTAGGGCTCAGGAATCAGGTAAAGAAGCCTGCAGGCAACACACCCAAAGCATGAAGCCACATTTGTGAGTAAGTCATATCTACGTCTTTACCTTCTCTCCCCTTCAGATCCCTCTTCTAACCCAGCTCCTTTCCAGAAGAGCATCTTGGACTGACCACGGAAGTCACTGGGCGGGGGCGGGGGGGGGGGGCCGCTGACCTACCATCAGCTTCCCAAACAGCCCAGAATCCAAGAAGAGACACCAAGTAGACCCTGGAGACTCAGGTAAGATCTCAAGGTCAAGGGCAGGATCCAGATACAAGATGGGGGAGATGCAGGAGGTGAGGGCAGGAAGCTGACCTAGGTCTGGAAGGGCAATAATCATAGTGTTGGTGTTCACTGGGCTTCCCCCACACCCCAAGCCTTCTGCTAAGTGCTTTAGGTCTGCATCCAGCACCCCTCCACCCCCCCGCAAGCCTATGGGATAGGTATTGTTATCATCCCCGCTTTACAGAGGAGGAAACTAAGGACAAACCCTAGAGAAACAATCTACTCAGTGACAAGAGCAACGGGTAGTAAAGTCAGGGTCTGAAATTCAAGCCTGCTGGTGCTTGAGTCTGTTTTTGTTTGTTTGTTTTTTACAAAACTAAGTTGGCCCGGATATGTACTGGACAACTGAGCTGAATTTTTGTTCGTTTTATGTGTGGGTAGATGTGCCTGTGTGGGCACATGTGTATTCAGCCTTGGGTATCAACCTCAAGAATGAGAACCATTTCTTGAAATAGGACAACTTCTCATTTTTCTGGACCTCATGAATTAGGCTAGATTGGTTGGTCAGTGAGTCCTTATGCTGGGTTAGTAAACAATCACCAATCACCGTGCATGACATTGACATGGTACCGGGCATTAAACTCAAGATCCTGTGCTTGCAAGGGAAGCACAGAATATATCAGTATCAGAGAGAGAGAGAGAGAGAGAGAGAGAGAGAGAGAGAGAGAGAGAGAGGAGAAAGATCAAGCCAGAAAGGCCCTGGAAGAGGATGGCTCAGAGCAGGGCTTGGGGGTGAAGAGGGAGGAGGCAAGTGTGCTCTCTGAGTTACCGGTGGACTTCCAGGCTCTGGGAAACCTTGCTCCTGTGGGAGGACCTCACAGGCCTAGCCTGAATTGCAGGCCCCAGAAAGGACAACTCTATATCCAACTTTCCCCTGGCTTCCTGCTGCCTGGTGTGTGTGTGTGTGTGTGTGTGTGTGTGTGTGTGTGTGTGTGTGTGTGTTCCAATTACATCCCAGCTATAGTCTTCCACCTGCTGCCTGGGGTGGGGGATCCAGCTATATCCAAGCTATAAGTCTCCCACCTGCTGCATGATGGGGCACAGCTTCTAAGGGAGGGGTCCCCAGCCAGCAGGATCTCATCAGACACCACTTGTCATCTGCCACTGCTGTCTAGCCTTCTGGCTATAGTCCCTCTGACAGTGCCACTGCTGGCTCTATCTCCCTAGCATCTGCTGTGGTTTCCCCAGATCTGTACCCATCTGGCATCCTCAGCTAGGGTGATAACTGGGACCCTGGACCTGGGACCACACACGCACATGCACACGCACATGCACACGCACATGTACACTCATGCACATACTTACTTTGGAGTCAGGAACATGTGTGGAGCTTGGGACTTCCTGAACTCAAGTTGGATTTTGCAGATTTTGGGGGAGATGACACTATTCTCAGTCTGTCTCAGTTCTGCTTCAATGGCTGTTCCACTCAACAGACCCTCCTGGCTTTCTTCTTAGTACCCCGGACCTGCTGGGTGGTCTTCACTTTATGGCACATCCCATGACTGACTGGATCTAGGGCCCAGGGCTCAGCTGGAGGAAGTCTCTGATAGTCCAAAAGAGGGGACTCATCTCCTGTCCTTCCCTAGCGGCTTCAACCTCTTATGCTGCTCTGATTACAGTAGTCCCAGTGGGGTTATTGGTTTCTAAGGTTATCGCCTCAACACACACGCATTACTATGTACATGTTCAAGAATGCTTCCTTCAGCAGTTTGTAGTCTTATACTATGGTTTCTCTGGTGTCTGGTGTAGTTGTATGGAGTGTCCTAGAATTAATTGTCCTGGCACAGAGAGAAGACCACAGACTCTTGTGAAATGAAGACATCGTGTGGGAAGTTAATGCAAACTTAACTGGGATGGGATGTGAGCATGCACAGACAAGGAATTCTCGGCAAGAGGTTGCTAGCCTCTTGGCCTACCCCACAGGGACTGGTCGACCCACTTCTCATTCAGGAAATTGTCATTTTTAAGAGCCCATTGTTCCCCATCTCTGCAGTTTGGGGATGTGGGGGAAGTAAGCATTGCTCTATTATTTATACCCTCCCTCAGAGATGAAGGAAACAGATCATAGCAAGGGAGGAAAGGACAGAGAGAGGTTGGCTTTTAGTGAGGTGGCCCCTGCCTCAGTCATCAGGTCCTTCTAGAAGAGGGTCAGTGGGTCCTGGGGAGACTACTCCTTGAAGATTAGCCCCATCTTCCTCCACAGGCTCTTAGCCTAGCCCTGCCCGTTCTCTGGGAGTGAGGCCTCCCTAGGGAGACAATGTGGGCTCCTAGTTAATCCTCTCTACCCCAGCCAGTGCTCTATTTCTGTGGGAATCTCAGCTGTCCCCATTTGCATTGCCAAGCAGGAACCTTGGCAGCACAGCTGGGCTGGGAAACCACAAGGTTCCAGCTGGTAGCCCTGACCTCTGGCCGCAGCCTGCAGCCGGGCTATCTTCAGGGCCATGTTCTGCGTCACATTCCAGCCTTGAACACACACAGGACACCATGCTCCAGATCCCAGATTCTCCTTATGATCTTGCTCTCTAGTTACCTCCTGGGGGAGGGACAGACATGTTCTCAGAGGCCCTGACTCATGCCACAGTGGCTGACTCTGAGTACCCTTTGCACTCTCCTTCCCTACTGACACCGCCCCCCCTCCCCCTCCCCCTAGGGTTCCAACCCTCAGATCCCACCAAAATGAGAAATGTCACAGTGCCAAGTTCTAGTTTTTCCCCTGCCCAAGAGTATCGGCAGACTTTACCACTTCCACAGAACCTGTGGGCTCGGTAAGTGGAGTGGCGGTCCTTCAGCCTCAGCCACCAAGAACTAGTGAGATATGGGGGCAATAGGAAGGTTAGCCCTGGCCTGGCACCAATTATGTAGTTGGAAGGTCCCTTGTACCGTCACTATACAGATGGGAAAACTGAGGCTGGAAGTAGTGTGCCCAAGCCACTGTCACAAAGCCTGTGCCCAGGGTTGGAGAGATGGCTCAGAGGTTAAGAGCACTGATTGTTCTTCCAGAGGTCTTGAGTTCAACTCCCAGTAACCACATGGCGGCTCACAATCTATATGGGATTTAGTGCCCTCTTCTGACATCCAGGCAGACCACTGCATAACATAATAAGTCAATCTTTAAAAACAACAATACCAAAACAATATGAAACAAAGCCTGTGACTAAAGCATCACAATATCCCCCTGGGTGGTCAAGGTTTGCAGAGTGCCACCATGTACAGCTCTGGGCCACAGGGAATCATGAGCAGAGCTAAGTTAGAATGTCACTGCCCACAGTGGTCCACCTCTATACTGAGGGGGTGGCAGACGCTTCCTGTATCTGTGGCAGAGGGGTTTCTAGGAGGCCTGTTCCCAGCTTAGTAAGCCTGGAAGGCTTCCTGGAGGCAGTGAGGACCTAAGCTTTTCTTAGGATACGGGTGGGTGTACCTAGAGGGAGGGGCTTCCAAGCAGAGAAGTTGTGGGGAGGGGATGGTGGGGGAGAGCAGAGCAGGCTAGAGAAGTGGTCTCGGGATCCTGGCCTCTGCTGCGGGAAACTGAAGGGCCCAGAGTGGGTAATCCCTGTCTTCCTGGGTGGAACTGCATGAAAGGTGGGGCCAGAGAGGAAGACAACTGGAAAGAGCTGGGTGGCAAAGCCAGGACCATAGAACTCCCTGAATAGTTCTGGGGCTGTGGAGGGTAGGTAGTATGAGGCTGAGCCAGGATCTGGGTTCACCAGGCCTGTTTAACCTCTGGCTCCAGGGCCCAGGGCCCTTGCTGGTGGGCACAAGATGCTGGTGTGTGGTTTGCCTTTGCTGCCGCCAGAGGGCAGCCGCCTCCCGCTAATGCTGCTGGGCTTTCAGTCTGCCCCAGGCTCCTGTTGCAGAGAAAGCTTGAGTATTAGGGTGTTTTGTTGCCCTCTAGCCCGACCAACTGATGATCCAGATGTCCTTCCACAGAAGCCAGAGAGGTACAGTGACTTGCTTGAAGTCACACAGCAATTTTTGAATCTCAGTTGGGTCTTTGGTTAGCTCTAGGGCAGATTATGGGCCTAAGGCGTGGGGCAGGGTTTGGGACTCGACCTATAATGAAACTAGCTCAACTTCTCTCACAGCTGAAGACACTTGAAGCTGAGCCTCGTGCACACAGGACAGCTGGGAAGGAAGGGCAGTGGTTAGAAACAATTGTCCTTCTCCCACACATACCCAAATCCCTGCAAAGAGAGAAAAGTCTTCTACCCAACTAGCACATTTCATGAACACTTAGCCCAGATGGAAACCTAGAGGTCCCATGAACGGAAGCTCTCCCCTAACCCTTAACCCTGAACTCAAGTCTAAGACTAATAAGGGCTTTGCATGGTCAGGCTCTGGCCTGGTTTCCCCCGGTTGTAACCAGTCCAAAGGTGAGGCCACTCCACTCTCCTCACTGAGGAAGAAACTGGACCAGAGAAGGAGGGGCTGGATGGTCTTTTGCTTCACTCCCAAGG